TCTCACACACACACACACACACACACACACATCCCCTTCCTCCATCATGAATAAACCATACTGTGTCTATGAGTCATATACCACCCCCACATCCCTCTCTAACCCACTCCCCCTATTTGCTGCTGCTAGAGTAAAAACGCTAATTAACGTGATGGCTAGCTCCAGCTCCTGTCAGCAGCTTGTGGGGGCCTCTCAACCAGCCAGGCTCCACTGGTCTCTGGTTTTAGCAGCTCTCTCCCCAGCCACCATCTCTGGAGAACCAGGGCCCCTCATTCATATTCAGCCCCAGTCGCAGGCACCTGGAAACAGCCAGCACCAGCACCACCTCCAGCACCACACAACCCCCATGATGTCTATCACCAGCCCCCCAGTTGAGCCCACCTCCTGTCAATATTGGATCCCCCCACTGCTGGTAAAAGCCCCCCCCACACACACAATTATTCCATTTACTTAAAAACTTGAATCCAATTGGAATACAAGCCCAAACTGAAAAACTCCATTTAGGAGATGTGAGAGCTAGAAACTCCATCTAGGAGATGACACAACCCAAGTGATGGGTTGAATCACCCAACGGTGGCGAGAGAGAGGGAGAGGAGCTGCCTGCCTTGGTGGACTAGCTCGGTAACCATGACAACGCAGCCGGGAGAGCAAGAAACAGGAACATACAGAATCTGTTTCTGCTGAGACTTGCACATGTGGCACAGTACTGCTTTTCCTCTGAGAAGAAGAAGGGGAGGAGTGTGCGTGTGTGTGTGTGTGTGTGTGTGTGTGTGTGTGTGTGTGTGTGTGTGTGTGTAGGCCCTTATGAAACATACATGCCTGCTGCCTCTCCAACCAAACTCACTCGCCTGCTCTAGTCACTGAGTGAGTCACAACACAAAAGATATTCTGGTGAAACTGAAGCACACAACCCAGTGTTTAGTGGCAGGCTGTAGTCCCCCCCCCCTCCACCCAACAACTGAATACAGAGAGGTGGAGGTTTGTTTGCGATATGAAGTGAAAAATATAAAGGCAAGAAAGGGAAAAATTTTGTTTTTTTGCCTATTTTCTTTCCCTGTGCCTCTCTGCCGCTCCCCTTCTGCCTATCTTTTCTCTTTCCTCCTGCTCCCTCTTTCTACAGGCTCAGTCTAACCTCCCCCTCCCCTTTCCTCAAGGGAATAAAGGTCGTAACGCAAATGATTACTCAAACCCGAGTTGCCATAGAAACGCAGTCATGTGACTAGAGCAGGCATGCATAGACCACAACAAAGAGGTGGATCAGGAACCAGCGCTGGAAAGAGCTGTAGCTCGCCTTACTGGTGCCTCAGTGCATTTCACTCAAATTCAGGCTTTTAAAAATAGGCGAGCACCATGAAACGCAGGGGGAGAAAGGCAGAGAAAACGACACTATAAAGCGCCAGGACGAGAGGCTGTAATGAATCTAGGCTGTAACACTGCAGTGTGCCATATATTCTACCATTCACTAGCATACCAGGGTGTGTCCTATTCATCATGTCCTTCTTGGAGGCAGAGCTCAGGCGCCAGTTGTCTGGAATTTCTGTGAAATGGCGTCAGTTGTAGAAATGTAGAGGGTGGTGGATTGGTGTGCTTCTAAAGTAGGAGTTGAAGCGTGGAACTTTAACTTTTTGGTGTGCTGCGCTTCCAAACTGTTCCCCCTCAAAGAACAAGAACAGATATGCGTCAACACTAATATGCTATGCAGCAGTATGGTTACCTAGCTCGTAGCAGCCACTTTTCTTTTCAAAGAGATTCGAAAAACAGTGACACCTAAGCTTAACATGTACTAAGACACATTCTGGAATAGTATCTAAGCCAACCAATGTGTAAGACATATGTAAAATAGTACAAAAGTGGACAAAAATGTAGAGTAATTGTGGAAAAAGACAATCTCGCTCTGTTTTCCAACAAGTAATGAACTTAAAGTTCAACATATTTTGTCATAGTGGGTATCTAGCAAACAGAAAAACATACAAAAAGCCTTCTTTATAATCCTACAGATTTAAGCTGAATGAAACTGTGGCTGGTGAGCACACTATGTCAACACTAGTATGCAGCAATATGGTTACTTAGCTCGTAGCAGCCACTTTTCTTTTCAAAAAAATTCAAAACCCAGTGACACCTAAGCTTAACATGTACTAAAACACATTCTGGAATAGTATCAAAGCCAAGCAATGTGTAAGAGATTTATAAAATAGCATAAAAGTGGACAAACAAAGTAGGATAATTGTGGAAAGGACAATCTCGCTCTATTTTCCAACAAGTAATTTACTTAAAGTTCAATGTATTTTGTCGCACAGTAGGTATGTAACAAACAGAAAAACATAGAAAAGCCTTCATCATAATCTTACAGCTTTAAGCTGAATGAAACTGTAAAGGCTGGTGAGCACAACAGTCAGTATGTATGTGTCAGTGTAATGGAGGAACCGGCACCTGGAGCAGAATGGGAACGTGGCCTGCCCCAACAGGATTCAGGTATCCTGCATCCAATCCACCCCCGCTGAGATTACTTCTATGCCCTGGGTGAACTCGGCGACCTGCAGCCATCTCTCAGAGAGCAACCACCCCCCATAACACACACACTCGCACACACGTACACAGTCAAAGCTCCACATTTAAAAGGGACTGAGCCAGACACAATTTTATAATAGGAGATAAACTATGTTGTATGGACCCCAGCAGAATATATTGTTATGCAGTGAGAATTTGCTTTCATTCATCTTACTATTAACAGCCATTAATTTTGGCAAGCTCTATCAACACTAGCAGAGCAATAGGACGGGGTACATTTTTTTCTGATGAAGTCACCACATCTGCGGTTAGGAACACTGTGTGTTTCAATGTCTGGGCTCTCTTTCGCTCTTTCTTCTTCTTCTTCTCTCCCACATACGTCTGAATCCACGCTTGCCTTTACACCAGCAAACACACACAGTAACATAGATGTATAAGCGAACACATCAATACGCAATCCGAAGGGGTGTGAGCGTGATGCGTGACCCCCTCACTGACCATTTCCCTCCAAAGACCACCTCAACTCCCACGAGGTTTCAGGCAGCAGCTGAGTGTTCAGTGATGTCTGCAATTATCCCGTGTCTAGACAATGTCTAGTGAAAGACAAGGAGATGCACGTTCTGCACAGTCTGCGCTCTATAGAAGAAAAGGCCTGGAATAGACCACAATGTCTTTCAGTTGGTGATGTGGTGGTACATGAAAAGGTTAGGGCCAGACTAGGAACTCAGCCAACAAACACCACGGCTCACATGCTACATATGTTCCTTAGCTCATTTAATCTTGCTCAAGAGCCTTGTACTTACTTTTATGAATTCACATCAACCTCATCACATCATCCCTGAAAACATCAACTCTACTATGTGTTTTTAAATGTCCTCATACCGCATTTAGTTTAGTTTAGTTTTAGACGTATGACATGAATCAAGCCTCCATACTGTTCAGTCAGTAGTGCTAAACATGAGCTGAAAACAGAAACAATGGTGCCAGAAACTGGTTAAGACTAAGCAGACATGGAAAAGAGATTAGGTAAAGACAAAAGTAATTGAAAGAAAGAAAGAATAATAACAAACATGTTATAAATGGTTTTCATTTCAAAATGCTAATGCTCCATTTTTGACTGTACTTTGTTGACTATAAAGCATGTTCGCTGACACCGTGTTATTATTGATCTTACTTTGGAATAACTTCTTCTCCATTGGAAAAGATTATTTGAAGAAAATAAAAGAACAACAAAACAAACAGCAAAACGCAGAAGCAGGCTGAAAGATACTATGGGTTGCGGTAAAAGAAAAGGCTGTGAGAGAATGAGCAGGTGTGGTGGGAAAGACCCATGGGCTTCAGGGAGAGAATAGATCAATAACTAATTTCAGTACCGAGCTTCACTCGCACCGTTTTCCAATAAAGGCTCGATGGAGAGTACTGGCTTAGCCCTCCCCCCACTATCTCCACTCTATCGCCTTCTCGCCTACAAGCAGAGATTGGACTCCATGGAAGAAGGCTGTTTTTTCCCCCAGCGTTGAGATTGTTGGTTGGGTGGATTATGTTCCTACAGCTAGTGTATTATATAAATTTAATCCAACATTGCCACTACCATTTCCATGTGTCCTCCATGAATGCTCCCATAACCATTCCACCTATCGTCTCTTTAACTTTCTTTTTTTACCTAACTGCTCTTCCTCTTGCAACCCCTCTCCCTCCCTCCCTCTCCCTCATTCGACCAGGGCTAGTGTTGAGGTTTTGTCAAGAGATTCAGACAGACAGGAGAGTGAAGCGTGTGTCATGCAGGGCTGCTGCTGCTGCTGCTGAGGCTCTTCTCCTCAGAGGCTGTGACCTAGATAACCAAGAGGAGCTGGAGCGCTTGCAAGCCTTGGAGCCACTCCAGCTTCAGCAATGTCAGGAAGGGGTTAGTTGTGTAACACAATGTCCTATTTAGTTTGCTCGTCACACACATGGACCGCAAACACATATGTACCCTATGGCGTTCCTGTACCATCATAGTACGTTTCATTTAGGCACTGTTTATTGCCAGAGACGGGATGAGCAGAATGGGTTTTGTGCATGAGAGGGAGGGAGCAAAAAAAAATTTTTAATAAAAAAATAGGTGAAAAGGGGCCCTTAAATTCATCTGAATTTAAACATAAGCATTAAGAATGCTTGGTAAAACTTTCCACGCCAGCAGCCACTGCAGCTACATTATGTCACAGTGAAACCATGTCAAAACGTCTACAGGCACACTCTTCCTGCCGTGCTCTAGCATTTTATTCCTACTTCTTTATTTTAGCAGTCACTCAACTGATGCTTGGTGTATGAACACAACCATGAGGTAAATATATAGCACCAATTATTCCTCTATAACAAATAGCTATTGAGTTCAACAGTCACATTCAGCGCTGCACTGCCACTACCTGGTCAGTTACAAGGAGTAACATATTGACAAATATAAAATAATGTCAAACTGCTATTATCGGATATAACAGAATATCAAAACACTGTTGGTGAGACACGACTGTTTTATTGGTCCACTTTCATGCTCAGCGAGAAGATACACAAATTCCACAATACACCGCCATCGTGTTGAGGAGATAAAATATAGATGGAGCCTACTGCGCTGGGACAACTTTAATAGGCTGCACTGTGAATAACTAAATCTTTGACCCTGACATCTGAGCTGCTTTTGAGCTGCAAGATCAACACTGCCATCTGGTGGCTTTTATTTTGTCTTGCAACTTTATACATTAGTATGGTTCACTCAACAGTACAGCAGTTTCATCACGACAGTGATAACTACAACTACAAATTACAACTAAAAGGTAAATTTTTATATACAAAGCTGTGTAACTTAAAGTAAACATAAACACATTTGTCTGTCAATTTGGCACAGAAAACATACGATAAGACTTTAACAAAGGCTTCAATGGTTTGTGAGGTGTAGGTTCATTTATGGACAAATGAACAACTTAGATTTTACGTAGAACAAAAACTATCCAGTATCTTAGCATCAGCGCTGGTTATGTTGGGGCTTGAAGCAGTCCCAACCAGGCTTTGGCGTATACGTGTGCTCAGGAAGAAGAAAGTCTTTCAGTCTGTCTGGTAATGGCAAGGCTTTGATTCGGTCTTCCAGGGGCCATGGCTGCAGGCGTCTCCTTATGAAAGCCCTACAAAGGCCTCGCAGAGCAGGAGGGCTTGCTTCATGCTCTACTACGCGGTTGTGCAGGTCTACCAAAGCCTGAGCATAAGGGTGAGGATCCTGACCTGGCACAGGGAGCTCCAGCCTCAGAGGCACATGCAACAGGGTCCCGTCTACCCTCGCTAAGTCGACCAACACCTCTGCTTGCTCCAGGAGCTCAGAGGCGCAACTTTGATCAGAGCACTGCTGCAGGGCTGTTTCAAGCCGCTGGAAAAGAAGGCTGTAGCCTGACCAACAGGAGTCGCCGTGATAGGAACAAACCAAAGAGGCTCCGCTCTGGATTAGGAGCACAGCCAGAGGGAAGAGCAGGTCAAAGTGCTCCAGGCTCGTCTGTGTCAGCGAGGGTTCGCCATCCTCATTCAGACAGCAGCTGGGGTCCACACCATGAGCCAGCAGTAGTTGGGTGGTTTTCAAGCAGAAGTTACCGATCTCAGCAGCGTCCTCCACATTGGCCTCCAGAGCCTCCTTAACCAGAAACACCAACGAGGATTCAACTGTTTCACCGTCAACAGTAGCAGCGTTAACGTCCGCACCTGTGGTGAAGAAAGCATCGCTCAGAACCACATTGTTATCAAGTCTAAAAATGTTGAGCACATGTGCCTTAGACTGTGTAAATGTATTGAGCCAATTAGTCAATAGACAATAGAAAACTTAAGATCAAAAACAAACTTGCAAGACAAAAGTATGGTTCAAGCTCTAAAAACACTGGATCCTAGAACTCCCATAATGCAACGCAATAGCATGTTTCACTAGACCCTCTCTGGCTCCAATTTGTAATGCAGGCACCAAGCTGAGAAACACTCAATGACACCGTGACATCATCAGGGTTACTTTCTCAGACATGACAAAGCTCCTCCAGATCCACAGCAGACATTATACAGCTGTTTTCACAGGTGTATTAGTATTCTGCATAACAAGAAAACAGATCTCCATGTGTAAAATCGACGGCGTGCGATTTCAACACCAAAGAGTTTTCCAGCTCTGAGTTGAATATGGTTTATCTAAGTAATAAACAAATATTCACAAATAAGAAATTTTATTCAGAAAAATTGTTCTTTCCTCCCAAGTCTACAAACTGACAGAATATACATTATCATGCACTGTCAACCATCAGTATCCAAATCTGTGCCTCTGTTCTGAGATTGTCACTACTGACATCTTAAATCATCATACTCAAATACATTTGAATTATTTCTTAATTTAAAGCAAATTATTTTAGCTCTCTGACAGATGAGGATATACTAGTTCTTGTTAAATACTTGGACAAGATTTTCCATTGGTTTTCTGATGTTATTGACAAAGGATGTATGTATATCCCACACTGGTTCTTTGTGGCTATTGTGAGAAGCTGCTTTTCAGTTGCCTTTTAATGTACAGCTGTTAAAGCATGCAATGTTCCTGCAGGGTTTGTGTGTGGCTTTTTTGGGTCAGGGTACACTGGTTGTAAAGTGAATGAAGCAAAGTCTATATGAGGGCCCGTAGTCATACATGAAACTATGAGTATACTTAGAAGATTGATGCTTCCACTATACTGTCAAGACATAGAAGACATACTTCCTGCAGTTAAAAATCTTGTCAGTCAGTCGCTTCATGCCTGGATCACAGGATTGGTTCTGCTCCATTTTCAGTTGTGTTACAAAGTGTGTGTGTGAATATTTTAGCCTGACAAACGCAGACAGTTTACTTTGATCTCAAAATGCATACAGGTGGACATGTGTGCATACTAACACAAATTTCTGAATGTAGTGGTTTAACCTTGATCCTGCATAAGGAGGTATTTCAATGACCAAAAGCAAACAAGAAGGCAAAGTGAAGATGAGTGGTGTTTTACAGTCCGTACCTTTTTCAAGTAGAAGCTGGATGTTCTCTACGTTGTGCACAGTGAGTCCATCGCTGCTTGCCAAGGCATGGAGCAAAGGTGTTTTTCCTTTGGAGACGAGACCACAGCAATCAGTTTTCAGAATGAATGAATGAGTAAAGGAATTAATCTTTTTTGAATTAGGCTGTAAATTTACCATGTTTATCCCTTGCATTTGCATCAGCACCCAATTCCAGCAGGGTGAGCAGGCAGGGGAGCCTCTCAGACTCCTCACTGGCAAGATCCAAAGGACTGCTCTCATGGATCTACCAAGTAAAATTTAAACATAAAATGCTAGGAAAACAGAGGGGATACCATAAGAACAAGATAGGACATAAATACAAGTTAGACAGTTGCCTCACCCTGTCTCTCTTTTCAACATCTGCTCCGTGCCCGACGAGCAGCTTCACCATGTGTGGCCTGTTCCTCAAAACAGCTATATGTAGAGGACTGTAGTATGATACTGGGTCTGGAGAGTAGAAACACACATTCATATTACACAAATTGAATCTTTGTCACAGTGATAAAACATGAATCAGACAGATGAAGATTTCTAACAATATTACATTTTCTTTAAATGTGTCTGGGCAAAGCTACACAACCTACTGTACAATGCTGACTAAGGCAGCCAAGACCCCCAGAGGCACTAAGCCAATGCAAAGGGTCTAGGGAAGGCATTTTCACCAATTTGACAACACATACACATGTACAAAAACACATTACAAATATAGAGAACCCAAAGAAATACAGAGAACAAAAAATAGAGAGACAGAAGCAATAACAGAAACACTGCAACAGTTCTGAGCTACAAAACTACAGAAGTGTTTCGGCAATGTAAACGACACATCTTCAGACATATTTGAAGGGATGTTGTTGAAGGCAAAAGGGTGGCAAATATTAGAGAAAAAATAGAGTAACTTGATGCTATGTGGGAGTATATGTCACTGTTAACTTTCTGGAAAGAGTCACTCAGGAAATGTAAAAGATGAACGATGCAGCCTCTGCCAGGATTCCCTAATTATGTCCCTGGGGAAAGACATCTTTACTACCACTAGAGGTCATCACAGCTGAGTTTGGCAGGTTTCATCACAGCAGCAAGAATGCTGCACTTTCCACTACAATTTGCTAAAGGTAGACTTATTCTCCAAAGTATATATTTCTCTATTTACATATGCAGTGAAAATAGCAGGTGCACTCATGTTTTAAAGTACAATCTGTCATTCAATTTTCTTTCTGACATACTGTTTTGCACCCACAATCATACATAATTACTAGTCCGCACAGCAACATATATTTCTTTACAGGTTTAGTTTTAAAACTTATAGTCATCTCCAAAGTGTGAATGGCTCTTAATTTGTTAAAGGTCTTTTACTAATTGATTACTAAATAATACACCTCATGTTACAAAAAGTCTTGAGATGTGGGAAGTGTGATAAAATAAAGTTACCAATTAATTCATTTAAACTCATGCAATTGACTGCAATGCACTTAATTTGCCAAGAGAATAAAATTTCTTTGAAATAATCTACATTCACAACAGCTCAAATGAGCATATAACTGAATTTACAAAGAAGCCTTTGTAAACTCTGGAGGAGACATGGGATTGAGGGCAATCACCACCAATATCAGTGGATTGGTTTCTCTGGCTGGCTACTTTAGGTGTTAATTTAATTTTACTAAAAGCACCCTCACCAAAAATGTCTCACCTTCAAAGTTTAGATCCGCCCCATAGCGTAGCAGGATCTCAGCTGCATTCACCAGTCCCCGCTCTGCCACCTTAAACAGAGCATAGCTGATGCCTTCTACAAACACTTCTGACTGGGACTCCCGCTCCAGAAGCTCCACTAGAGAGCTACAAAGACCAGACTCATCCCCAGGGCTTTTGACTCTGGACACAAGAGTGAAAAGTAGCACAGTTTCATTCAATTCAATTACAAATATTTAAATTCTGTACTGGCAGTGATCATGGCACTATAGCTTGAGTACAACAAACTGCTACAGAACATTACATTTTTTTTTATCCTGAGCGACTTACAAATACTATATATGTCAGATGTTGCACGACTCTGGAGCAACTAGGAGTTAAGTGTCTTGCTCAGGGACACATTGTGGATGTGTTGCAGTGGGAATCGAACCCACACCAAAGGCATATGTCTTATCAACTGCACCACCCATATTTCATTAAAATAATGAATAAATAAATACACTTTGGCAATAATTCACTTAGAAATGCTTCCTAAAAAGTTGCAGCCAATAGCACAACATACTGGAAATTAAATTCTGCACACTGCTAAACAACACATCAAACAATATTGTGGCACTAACGTTACCTGTCCTCGTGACTACCGTCTCCTTCATTCAGGCCAACAACACACATCACAGCATCTACCAGCGGCTGGTACTCATAAATGATCCTTCGAAACCCATGGAGGAAAGGCATGGCTCCTCCACTCTACACTAACTACACGAATCGTAGGTCAGTGGCGTTACCTAAAACACAACAACACACATGTGTAAGTTATGGACAGAGGGTGTGTCAATGTCATATCAGGGGCTTCGCTTCACATCGACGTTATCTTTTGAGTTCAGCTGACAAATGTCTTTGGAAAATGAGCGACACTTCAAACGCTTTACAGAAAAGTATATTGTCCTAGTTCAGTCATGTTCAGTGATGCTCACAGGACGAAATTCCTACATTTTTCTTAACGTTACACTGAAGACCTACTAGCTGAAAATGTGACGTTAAATGTTCTAAGGAGAAAAAAAAAGTGATATTGTCACAGTCACAACGCTAGCATTGCTGGCTAAATCACTCATTTACTTGCAAAATTATGAATTATGAGGTGTTTGAGAGAAATTACTTAAACAAGGCAAGTAACTGGAAACTCACACTGATCGGTTTTCCTTCAAAACAGGACGTTTCCGCCACGCCCACATTGGTCCGACGGTGTTTTCTTTCCCCTTTAAAACACAAAAGTAACGAAAGTTCCCCTTTCGGTTGTCTGCCAGGCTGTCTGTAGTTTACTTTTTCAAAATGTATACACTATTAATATCCAAGGAAGCATATCCAGTGAAAAATATCATTACAATTATTTTATACTTAAGTCACAATAATATGAACCTTCACTCAATACTTTGCTGTGGTGCTATGGTGTTCATCTGCTTCATTAAAAAACATTGCAAAAAATTCAGCAGCATCTGGCAGATAGCACAAAATACTGGACCTAAGGCATATTGTCAGCTACACCATTAAAATGGTGCGGTGATAAGCTTTTACAATTACTGAAGCAGCACAGGATTTAACAGAATATTCCAACTTCCAAACAGACATCCCAACTGTAAACTATAAACATATGTCAGACGAATAAATGTCAAGCAAGTCAATCAGCAAGTTTTATCATAAACAAATGTTTTTTGTATAACATAATGTGTTAAATGACTATAAATGTCAAATTTCACAGATCATAATTCCCAGTGGCATGTCCTGTCATGTATTTGACAAACCACAACAATATTTTTCATTATGTCAATTTCTTTTTTATTAATTACCATTTGGTTTGCTGTTGTTACTGAAAAGTGTCACCCACAAAATATTTTACCACCAACACACAATAGTAAAAAGTATTTTGTCCATATGGCACATCAGTCTAAGACAGCAGCTTTCAGATTTTTTGGGGGGATAACTACTCCATTTTACTGACAGCATCTGGCTGCTAGCAGTCGCCTTTGTCCTGTTTAGCAAACAAATCCCTGTCGTGTCTGGGTTTGGTGACAGATGGCTTGCTTTGAGAACCGTCGACGAGTGCTCTTTTACAAAAGATGTCATTTTTAACACATCTGTGTGTCTAATTTGGAACACACCATATGTTAATGACAGTGCATTTTAACACAGCATATGTTGTTGCTGGACTTGGAAAGTGACGCAAATGCCAGATGAGGAAGACACAGTTGGTTAAACAGACAAATCATTTTTTAAGAGTGCGAGACCACCAGTAAGGTAAATGTGATCCTTTTTGTTTGAATGATGAATTGTATGAAAGCAAAGACGATGTAGAGACATGCCAAATTCAAGGGAAGGAAATCTTATTCATGTTTTATGGTCCTATGAGAAAGTTCAAATCAGAGAGCCAAATTCCATTCAGCCCTGGATTATTTGTTTTAGGTGATAGATATAATGGGAGGAGACAAAGACATAAGAAGCTATAGTACACAGATTCCTTAGAGAATGCAAGACTGGCGAGGGGCTTCAGTCCATGGGGGCAACATTCGCAAAGGCGTCCTATAAAAGGTTTGCAAGATTGGATGTACTGTATTTATTAGAAAATGGGGCAAATACTTTTTTTAATCATTTTTGGTGAGCTCCTGACATGGGCCATACTCTGTGAGGAGTCACATGTTTAGTGTAACATATTTACTTGTTTTGTACTTCCTTATTTTGCAATGGTTTGTTTCCTGAGCTTTGTCTTGTTTTAAATATGTGTCCACTGCATCTGATGGAGCCTATTTATGCTGACAACGAAGGCCAATTTTTATGTGGTGATGACGAGCTGTGGGGTTTGAATGTATACTTTGTGATGCATATTATTTTGTACTTTGTTTGAGAAATAAGAAAAATGAACCATAGAAAAAAGAAAACAATGGGGTATGTGTTAAATATGGATAGTGGGTGGATGAAGATAAATGCTGCCAAACCAAGTGGAAATTTTTCAACTGACTTCAACAAAGCAACGTTCAGTAACAAGAAAATCAGAAAATGCAGTTTCTGTTGGTGACCATAATGATAGCACTTTATATGAAGCACATACTGTACTTAAATTGTACTAATAAGGGATGAAAACAGAGATTATGTTGGTTAAAATATGTTAAAACAAATAAATAAAATAGGAATAATTTAATACTTGCAATTTTATGTATATTTTTGTAGGTAAAGTGCAGTTTGCTGTATGTGTATGTGTATGCTGATTGCTGACCAAATAATGGTTGATTCAAACTCTGTCTTTAGGTGGCAGCAGTGCAGCACATGCCTACACACCTTGGAATCAATGGTACACGTCTATTATTATACAGCACATGCATGAGTGCACTACTTAATCCACCATATACATGTAGACAAGAAACGCAAACAAACAGCACTGGGAAAGTCTGCAGCATACTGAGATCCCCTTCTCTGAAATGGAAAACAGAATGCAGTAGTTTAATCAAGGTTTGATTAATTCTAATTATGTCACTTTCAAGACACACATTATGTTCACATCCAAGTCACCTGATCAATAAAGCATTGTTCCCTGAACGGATGGCAGCTCTCTCAGAAGCCCTCTAATGTGACTGAAATCTCTCTTCCTATTTTCCAACCACGCTCAATTTACCCTCGTTTTTCGAGCCATGTGCTCATGAATAATCTACTTTACCTCTCCTTTTACAAATCTGTCAGTGATTAGTTCCTAAGTCTTTGTGCACACACCTGCCAGGGTTCCCCCGGTGAAGCAGACAATCTCTTTTTTCCACTCTGAAGTTAATTTGTACCTTTGCCACCCCGTGGTCACAAGAGCACGCTGTTACTTGTCAGACAACAGTAACAGTAGGTGAAGAGACACATCCAGTGATTTCAGCTGCAGGGCCCCGTTCTGAGGCTTAGCATTAATGCAGGTTCTTGTGGAAGTTTTGGAACATCGTGAGTGTCTCTATCCTTCACAGAATATTGCATTTACAAGTGCCTGTGATCATCAAAACTACTTGTTACTGTTAAGCCCAAAATTCAAACCCACTTACAAAAAATTAACTCATAAAGTCACAAACATTTCAAATTGATGCTGTTATTTAACCTCAGTACCGTGATGCAACAAATCATTGGGATTATAGATGTCGAAGAGTAATGGCGGCAGTTAAAAACAAGGCTTTGTCAAAAATATCACTCTTTGTGCTGTTTGTCCTTTTCCATCCGTCTAATTTTGAGCTTGATTGAAGGATGGAGGCAAGGGGGTGGAAAAGAGGGAAGATAACTGCAGTTCTATTCCTATACCCCTTACTAGTAAATTGGCTCTTTATTAAATTTAGGCTCCATCTATCAATACAAAGAACGGTATCGAAATTACTTTGTTGGCCACAAATCGTTGGCAATAGATTGAGCCTCTCTTGAAACAAGGCAACCATTTGTCTCATTCACATTTCCTCCTGAGATGAAAGAAAGCAGGACACAAAAAGGCTTTCATTTTTTCCCTGGGTTATAGATGTGACCCCCCACTAACCTACAAACCTCTGATTATGAGATTAACACAAGTAAAGTAATAATCTATTAAACATTTAGACCTGTTGGTTCCCTCTGGATTCCATCTATTTTTATCAAATAGTGCTGTCAGGGGAGCTTGAGGCATGGGAGTCTGCTAACACCGAGGAGATTTACACAGCTACAAAGTACTCTGGGCTATGCAAAGCGGTGTAGTTTGTCTCGGGAGGGAGACTCATAAAGGAGAAGTTAATTACAGTGGATACAAAGTACTTTCAAGATGTAGTAAAATTAAACACACACACACGCACACTTTCACATTCTTCAGCGCCTGAAGAAGCAGCACACTCTGAGGTGAGAGGTGAGAGAATACCAGTGGTGAAGGTGAAGGTGAAGGCAGTGAAATGATAATAGAGTGGCAGGGCATTGTGGTTTGGTTTCCTTCAGTTTCATACCGAGAGCTGGAATTATCAGACCAGCAGGTCTGGGCCTAATATCCTTTTGTGCTGGCAGCGTATTGCCGAGTGAAGATTGTGGATGGAAATAATCAGCCCTTTTAAAGGTCAGGGGAAGTTAAGCACACCCAAAGTAGACCACGGCACATTCTAGCTGATAAGAAATAACTGTCTGTGTAAGGAAGAATGAGGAGAATTCACCTTGTCCCATTTATTCTATCGTGATTGCTCAACTGTCAGTCAAATATAATGGCACATATGCAGTCAACACAGCCACAACTATAGAAAACTCTATGCTCCGTCAAATATCAGGCAAACAGAGTAATGCATTAAAGTGCTTATAGTGTGGCCACTGTGAGCATCTTTTAAGTATTTCAGCAAGATCATACGCCAAATGCGTAAATTGCAGAGGTGGTTCAGGGCTGCAGTCAACTTAGCAATGACTTACTATATTAAACCTGCAATATATGGTGGTCTCTTGGGTTCAGCAGAAAACAGACAAGACACATCAGGTTTGAAGGTGACATGGCTAACGTGTTAGCAAACATTTGCCTATTTATACATCAAGCAGATTGCATTTGGTTGGAGTATTTTTCTGGATATCTAGGTACTAAATGTTCACTAGCTATTCGTAAACTTTGCCTGTGTAGATTGTGGTTTCTAAAGCTTCCTTCAGTCTAAAACAGTTGTGGGGTGAAAAAAACAAAAACAATGAGCTGCAATGATGGGCAGTCGGGTGATAATTGTCTTTGGGTTCATTATGTAGTCATATGTTCAGTTTAAAGGAATATTTTGACATTTTGTGCAGCAAGGCAGCCCGTGGAGACTCCAGGAAGTTACTGCACCCAGCCAAGAAATAGTGGCACATAACCCTCGATAGAAATAGCCAATTTTACACTTTGGTTTTTGTACAGGTCAAACAAACAACATATAACTGTTGGACAGAGACAGGCTAGCTCTTTCTCTTTGTCCAGCACTTTGTGCTAAGCTATGGTGACTGTTTGTAGACTATCAGCAGAAAGGGAATATATGTCTTTCACAAAACGTTAAACTATTCATTTGATTTGAAATTTGACTATAGCCGTTTAAAAGAAACACAATTCTATTTACAGAGTTATTAAAGTGTTGTTACATTAAGGGACCAACATTGCTTTCAGTATAGGCATCAATATAAAGGACAAATCATTTGGGACTAGTGAAATACAGCTCTGGAGGCTATAGGAAGGTCATTTTTTGGCTTCCCTCTGGGCATCAGTCTTGAAAACAGAGTGACGTCCCCAGAGAGGCTGATAAGTAAATACAGTTTTAATGGGCTGTGAATGGCTGGTGGTAATCTGCACAGGCCGGGGGTGGGCAGGGCACTGAGGGCGACAGGGCATTCTGCAGCAGTTATTATTAATGCTATCATAGATCAGATAGGCCAGGGGAGGAGAATGAAAGGTGGTGATGAATTTGGGCCTTCTGTCTACCAGCTGACTGGAGGACAACCTACTGAGGCTGGTTAAGGTCATGGATGAAGGATACCACCCAAAAGAAGTCATTATGTATAATATAGCGAATGGGATAGTACATACCCCTGGGACCTACTGAAGGTCATAGGATGAAATGGGAAACTTCAAAAATACAGCTTCTAGTGTGTTTCTTCTTACCAATTTATCCAAATATCCCGCAAAAAACAAAAAAACAAACAACAAAACAACAACAACAACAAAAAATATATATATAAAAATTACATACCTGCAATTATTTTTCGTATTCTTGACAGAAAATCTTTGCCCTTGCAGGAACCTAGACGGCTTAACATTCCAAAGTAAAATATGGTGATACTGTAGGTGTCTGAAAGTGGAAATTTGTTGAGTCTGTGTCTGACATTTAAGTCTTCTGTGTATTCCCAAGCCATGAAAGCTTCCAGATCTTTTTTCAAGACATCAAAGACTTGAGACCTTTCTCCCGACATCAAAGTCTTGAGACCTGTCCTCAGAGAGGTCTGCACATCTAAAAGTCGCATCTGTCAAGACACAATCACTTGCATTTTTCTCTTTAAATGTTCTCTTTTAAATTTTTCTATCTGTTTTTTTCATATCCCCATATTTCTAAATCGAATGTGTCTTATTATCTTTGGGAGAGACATGGATGGTGTGTGAGTTTTTAAAGCAGCCAATGTCTCTGTAATTTAGCCTGGGAAATGGACTTACCATGTGTAGACCTGAGAGGAGTTCAGCTACGTTGTTTAATGACTTGCAGCTATAGACGATGTAACCTAAGCCACTCATGCTCTGCTGGTGCCCTCTCCGATTTCAAGCAGTTGAATGGACCTCAGTGTGGCGTGGGCTTCAAGGGATTTGTGTGTGTCGGGTTCTAGACAGGCTACTTTTGGATGCCTACCAGCCTTTGGGTGAGTGATGTTACAGCCATTACAGATTGGGAAGTGACTGCCCCCCCCCGCCGCCCCCCCCCCCACACACACACATACACACACATACACACATATACACACACACTTCTAATGCTTTTTGCAGCTGTACTGAGTGAATTTGTTTCCGCGCTCAAATTGCACACATTTAGGAGGAAGCAAAAGCTTTGTACCGTAAGGAGAGAAATGGATTTTGAAGCCAATCAGAAAGGACAAATGCAGTGGCTGTAACTATGAGTTAGTGGTCAAAGACATTTCAGACACACTCTTACTTTTACAAACATCTTCACAACAACTAATCGGAGTAGTATCCACATACTTTATCTGTGTAAATGTAAGTAGTTTTCTGGGGAACATCCTTTCTCTGTTTGCTTCAGACATAACTGCTGCATACATCCCAAACATGGTCAAAGTATAGGTTTTACCCCTTTTAGGCCACAACTTGTTGTGCTGATGTACTTAAGTTCAGCTTGACAGTGTGCCACAAATGTGATACACTGACTAACAGCATGTGAAGTAAGTTTTATGTAGGGCCTGAAAGCTACAAAATTCCATATGCATTTAACTAAAATGGGGCTTTTACTGTGTTTTGATTAATAAACACTGCCTTCCTTTGTAAAAAAAATCATGCCAAGTATCAATAACATTCATCATACAGTTATAATACACACTCAAACTACTGTTAGGTTATGACCTTACACTGATTCCATGGCAGACAAGCAAAGGAACAAATACTCATAAAATGATTAGACTGGAGGGTGACTCATCAGATATTTCTGTATTTGGTGTTCATGAATCTTTCTTTATCTTTCCTTCACAACACCATCTGGCCTGCATAGAAACAAATCAGCTGTGTGGCTCACGGTTTAATCAATTATCAGATTACAGTAACAAACCATATTTCATTTAATTTTCTACACTGAAATGGATTCAGTTTAGATGAATTCATCAGCAGCAACAATTATGTTTGAGGAGTCCCAGCTAATTATTTCAACAAATGGCAAACATGATCATGGTCTCCAAGTCATATATGTACTGCATCAGAGCTCATATGGCCATAGAGTCATAGTGTGCTGATGGCAGTATTACCCATAATACACGGTTGTTGGACAACATGAGCTTGAACACACAACATTTGTCCTGAAAATGCAACAAGGACACTACAAACTCACTGTTGAACACCACTGAGCATCATGTAGTGAAGGATTGCAACTCTCTCAGGATAACATGGCAAAGGCAAGACATCATGCTTTCATCAAATAGTTTTTTTCCCCGCGTTCAGTGACTTTAATCACTGATTTCCAATTTCATCTTTGGGTTGTCCACAGTGTCATGTATTGTAAGTATTGCTTTCTCTCCTGCACCTCCACACCTGAGCATCTCTGTTCAGTTCATGCCCCATGCCACAAGGGGTCACTAGTGCCTGCCAAGTGGCGCAATCATGCAATCAATTGGACATGTTCGATAATAACTTTTGTAGTCATTCTTTATGTCCACATAAAGCAACGATGTAGGTGGGAAAGTATAAGGCATTTTATTAAGGAGGCAAAGATATGACTTTGGTAAAAACGCGTCCCAACAGTCATATCTGAGGATGAAATGTACTTAGTTTGGTTTGAATTTGAATTAATTTGATCAAAAATGTTTGATATAAATATTTTTGTTTATTCACACAACTACCTGTGCAAAATGATGTTGCTGGAGCAATGTGTGCTTGCCAGTTACTGTCACTCCTATTGGCTTTTTTCTCCCCTGCTTCTCTCGACGCGCATTGGACAGCTGACGATGCGTAAGCTCCACTGAAACTGTAGCCTGCAGCCTGTCTACATAAACATGGAAAGATGAAGGCTTGAAACCGGACTTTCGCACAATATGTGAACCACTTGGTGCCAACGTGTAATTAGTAGTGGCAGCTGAACAGTTGGCTCCGGGATCAGAGCTGTGCGCGCTCTGCTGTGGCTGCTGCGTGCTTCTGGAGTTGCGCTCAGGACTTCACGGAACGTTAAGGTTGCCTGGATATGGATGTATGCTGACCATGTTGCAATTAGAACTTCTTTACTTTTATTTATTCACCATAAATGATGCCAGGCGGGAACTGCTTTCATTCGTGTCCAAGTGTCGGACTCTACCCACTGCACAGCAGCCAACTTCAGGAGACTGGGCGTGCGGAGGATGCAGAGCAGACACACTGACCAACTGAGGACAAGGGATTGAAAACGTTTTCAGTTTTGGCTGTTTTTGGCGAATATTTTATGGGAGTTCATTGAGAATCATGAAGATGTATCACAACAGAAGTTTCACCCTGGGTTCAAGCATTTTACCAGGCATCTGAGCGTTTTTCTCTCCCAGAAATGCTTCAAAGAGTGAAGCAAAGCTGGGCGCAAGTATACTTTAGTTGTTGAATGTTCCAGACAACAACAAGTAGATAAGACAGTGGTGAGGCTTTCAAATTGTTTTTCACCCTCTAACATTTGCAAATGACTGAATGAAGCATGGTATTCTTTTTTACCAGAAAATATGTTTTTTCATAATTTTAAACTAACGATGCTGCAAGTAGGATTTTCTCTTTGAATTAAGCCATTTCGGCTTCTATCCAGTTTTTTTTTAGGGGGGATTCTTGTTTTCCTCACGACTGAAAGAAACATGTTGCATATCCTTGCGCTTCAGTCGGCGGTGTTACTTTTTGGAGGTAAGCACAGTTTCAGCCGATTTGCCTTCTAGTCCACTGTTTCAACTGAAGAATTCGGTTTTCTTACAAAGAATATGCATCCATACTTAAAGAAGTTGATCAGAAACTGTAGCACACATAGGCTATAGGACGAGTTCCTTGGCTTGCCAGGTATAAGGGTCAAATCAGAAACAAGGGACTCAGAGCACTGATATCCTGTGAGTCACTGCTTTAATTCATATCTGAATTTATATGCCATACAAATGACAACCAGTAGAGTTCATATCCGTTCATATTGCCTATACTATGTAGAAGAACCCACTGCAGCCAGTGATCAGTGGTTTTGCACCCATACACACCCAGGGCCGCTCTGGCCTTCAATAACATTTATCTCATGAATATTTCAATATGACAGGGGTTCTCCTGTGCCACAGAAGCATTGTGGCTTTAATACTTCTTGGCTTGTCAAGTTATTACATCAGAATTCATCTAACAGTCCATAATTATTTTATGGGAAAAGTTACAGAGACCTGCAGTGGTGAGAGATCTCCATAACTCAACATGACAATAACATTGACAATCACTGCATGTTAAAAAAAAACAAAACATTCTGGTTTTTGCAGGACTTCCCCTCTATCTATCTGAGTTCTTGCTAAAATGATGATAATGTAAATTAAATTTTCTCTGCACATGACAATGCAGCAGTCATATAATGCCACAAACAGGAGAGCAGCATGTACTTTGGCTGCCTGGCAGAAGCATAGATCTGAGGGCAGCTAGAGGTCTGGCTAATGAATCCCTACTCTCTTGTGGGGAAAGGCTTTAACCTGAACTGCTATTTAGAAAACGTATCCTGTCGACTGTTGTGAATAATGTCTACCTGACTTTAGCAGCTTTCTTTCTTATCAAACCGATGGAACTTGTCATGTTGTGTTTTTAAGCTTAATCTGTACAGTTTGGCAGCTGCAGATATCAACTGCAATGAAAAACATCTTTCTTATTCAGTGACCGTACATTGTTTGCCTTTTTTTGCCTTGAGTTATGGGAAAAATAAAATAAAGGTCTACATTGATTCCCTACAGAATTAAAGGTCATACATATCCAGAAAGTCACTGCTAAGCACTCTCAGCTCACAACGACATCTCACCCATCTATTGTGCACGTACACCTCGATGATGCTTCTTTCTCAAAGCTCAGAGGATGACTCTTATTTGACAGTCCCCCTATTATGAGTGCTGATTCACTGGCTTGAAGTGTATGGTAATGTTGTTTGCCATATGCCAAGGCCTTCTCAGTAACCATACACAGTATGATACTAATTGAGCATTGTGTGTCATAAAGCTGCAGGACACAGCTTCTCACTGTGAATAGTGATGAAAATTGATAACACACTCCAGGAAATGAGAGGATCAAATTCATGCTAGAAAAATGCCTGCACAGCATAATGAAGCCATAATTAGGAAGGGAAATCTTCTAGTATTCTGGCGTGACTGTGACTATACCCTTTGTTTGAAAACGCAGAATATTATCAGGGCAGAGAGTTACCAGAATTAAAATACTGGCAAAAAATCTGTTGAATAAAATGTCAGCGTGATAAAGTGAAGATAAAGACTAAAGGTCTTTTTCTGTTTTCAGAGAACTGGCTGTTTTTTAAATATTTTAAAAAGGCTGTCCTCGTATAAATTGAAGCCGCTGGGAGCGCTCCAGTGAGACACCTCACTGGGATTCCTGAGAGGAATATCCAATCTTCCCTCCCTTCGCCTTATCCTTGAGCTTAACAAGATCCAAAAAGGGATCAAGCAAGGATAGCCTTCAGTCTACATCTTTAAGTACTAAGCACACAGCCCATGCTGTCTCTTGTCTACGCTATGTGTATGTCCTCATGCCTCTAAATCCTCGTCAAGGGATTCAGCTTGTCCTGCAGGATATTATTTTTTATTTTTTGGGAACACCAACATTTTATTTACCCCAATGAGATTCCTGAGGGTTTTTCTCAGCAGAGAGTTTTTATTTGTAATTGTCTTCAGAAAGATCCACTGCTGTGGCCCTGCGCCCCAGTGGTGTGGCACACATCCAGCTTCTCTTCTTTTGCCCCTGGCAGCCCTTTAAGCCATGCAACTCGTGTCCTTGAGCAAGAAGTGAGAGGCAGAAGGGTGACATAGGCTACAGCATGCACAGAAAATGGCATGTTTTCAAAACTTACTGGAAGAGGAAATTAAATCAATACCCTAATAGATAGTTGTATAAGGTTATCTATGTAAGATTCACTGTGACTTCAGTTTAAAATCTCAGCTGTGGGAAAAACATTAATTTCCAGAAAGAGCGCATGATATTGATAGACTGATCATGTTTGTCTTCATGCTTTGCTATTTAAAATGGGTGTAGAATGTGTTTGCATACCATCGTCTGTTTCTGTCTCTTTAGTTTAGGTTGTGCAGGGTCAAACTGAAATGTAACTATGACTATAACGTTTTTGTTTTTTTTGTAGAATTAGAGACAGTCATCAGTCAACCAAGAGGTGTGATTTCATCAATGTTCTGGTAGATATTTTGATTTTGATTTTAATGTTTATTGCACTGGAAGATTTTAAATCAAGTCCAGGAAATTTCATTGTGTGAACTCCTGAGATTCAGTTTCAAACCTTTGACAGCTCATCAGTTATACTTGTATCAGAGGCATATGTCCGTTGAGATTTAAATGAGTCTCTGTCTTCAGAAAGCTTGCATTGGATAAAGACCTGTAATTCCATCTTGCTGGTTTGTTAGTGTTAACTCGGTTATGGTTTTTATTTACAGATCAGAGGACATGAAAAGAAAAAAAGAAATCCCTGGCTTGGTGTAACAAGGCTATCTTACAGCTGTGCTTTGAATACACTGTGGTGCACTTCAGAGATTTGTGACGGAAGACACTGATAAAAAGATGCCGATTTTTCCTTTCTCTCAAATCCAATTTAGCATGGCTTGGGTGTTTTCCATAGTGTCTCTTCATAGATGGAGAAAGGAAAAGAGAATCAAAGTGGCAGCACGGCTGAACTGGGTTTAAACTTCTCTGCTGTGTGATTACCAACCATCAAAAATGTTTTATGCCATATGTTTGTATATGCACCTTTGTTTGTTTAATGACCGTTTTATGAAAACAACAAGTAGGTGGACTCTCATCTAGATCCCTTGTACTGCTCTTTCATGCTCATTATACTTTAAGTGTGTGTGGGAGGCATGCATGTAGCTTTCCAATTCCAGAGTCAAACGAGGGTTTTTGACCCCATAAATTCATACAGCCTATCATCAGAGTAATATCCTGTAATGTTTCCACAAAGCACATCTGCCCTGTGTTAATTGGCACTTTATAACTGCCGCGATCTCACATTCAATTTAATCAAATTTCATGATTAGGAAGGTGAATAGAGGAAATCTGTGTAAAAGCTTTAAAGGGAGGGGTTGTGAATGTGTGTGACTGAGGCAGGGGTGGGGTCATTGTAATAATTGACTAACATGCTGATGCAGTGTTTGTGGGTTCTCTCATCAGTGGATAGTTGTGTCTGAACAAAAAACTTCCTCCTCATAAATCCATCGGGGAGTTTACAGCCAGACGATGTGCTCAACTAGGACACTAGATGTGGTGCAACAGGGGGAAAACTACAAGAGACCAGTGTAACCTGCCCCGAGTTGTACTGCACTACAAGCAGATGCGCTAACGAGGAGGCTAAAACCCATGGGCACTAGCGTCGGTCACCAGTGCGTCTCTTAAGGTGTCGGGGAGTGAGGTTTAGTCACTGCACAGCCTCGCTGGCCCACACCAGTAGCTCGCTTAAGACCGCACACTGTTTCAAACTTGAATAACGTAAAGAAATTAATTCATTGTTAATTATGAACTCTGGCTGCATTGGCCAATTTCAGTTTATTTAGAGCTCATATTTTAAAAAAACATGTCTCGTGTGGTAGAGTAAAATTAAAACAAGCCAAAGAGACTACAAATAGATCACCTAAGTCAGTGAGATTCATCCTCTGCAGGCCATGAAGAAGAAGAAGAGGCTAAATAGTTCACAATTTTGGCAGAAGAGATTTATGTGAATTTGAATATTGATGAAAATAAATAAAAACCCCCGCGACCCGATCCCGGATAAGCGAATGAAGATGGATGGATGGATGGAAGAAATAATAACAATGTTGAAAATAGAAATTATGTTTCCTAATTCTTGACAGCTTTCTAAATTTCAGTAAGCCACAGCAGCAGTTTTCTGGTCGTAATATTTCTGTAACACAAGAACTGACACTAAAACCCTGCAGTTCGTTGGTAGAGGTTTCAGCTTTTAAACATATGCCCCCTTGATGTATCCTCCTTTTTATTCTCACTGAGCTTTAATTCACGCAACGCAACTGTTAATAATATAATATACAGAACAATTTCAGCCCACTCATGATTTTAATGCTGCTGAGAAACTCCCTTACACAAGTTCTCCCACACACACTACTCAGACATCACCAGTGTTGGGATATGATGCTATGACCCCATGCACTTAGTGTCCTTATATCGTAACCTTTTTCTTTACTGTAAATGTTTGTGCTGCTTTTTATTTACAGCTGAATGTTTGTATTCTGCATGAAGGAGGAGGGAGGAAATAGATTTGCACTGTTTATTGTAATGAGAAAGCTACTGAATCATGGGATATTCCAAAAAACCCTCACTAGACTAAGGAGTGGATTAGGTTTTTATTACTTCAATACATTAATATAAAGTCATTAGCCCGGGAGCTTTCTCTGGAAACAAAAACTGCTAAGACAGCATCCTACAATATTAGATATTTATGTAATACATCCTGCATAAAGGCTTAAACGATGTGAATACACTCAAGAACCTCATATCCTGGTAACTTTGGGTTTTCTCTGCCAGCATAGATGTGAATAGGAGAAAAAAGAGCATCAACATTTGTGCTAAACATAACCAAAACATTTTTAAATCAACATAGTAAAATCAGCCTGTAAAGAATTATTCTGTATTGCAGGTATATTTTATGTTTCCAG